GAAAGAAAGAAAGAAAGAAAGAAAGAAAGAAAGAAAGAAAGAAAGAAAGAAAGAAAGAAAGAAAGAAAGAAAGAAAGATCGATCTGGTATTCAAGCACCTCAATTTAATGCAAATGATGGAATGGACACAATTTCAGTATAGTCTTTTCCATCCATTGGGATACTCAAATGTTGCACTATAATTCCCTTGTGCCAAAATACTGCTCAGAATAAGAGCAATAAACAATGGGAGCAATATCCCAGCTCAAGTAACGTCATAGTTGAAAGACTATGAGGCATTTTCTGACAGATGTTGCATGCATTTCAATGCACACTCCAAACTTATCCTTTTAAATTCAACTTTAAATCTTTAGGCTCCCTTTAAATTCAACTTTAAACCATCAGGCCAAACCTTTAGGAAGGTGAAATTAATTTTAAATATTTCAATACGAATATTTTCTTTTCTTTTCACCGATTCCACCACAATGGAAAACGCTTCCACCTTTTCTAGATTCTAAAAAGTTGAATATATAAATCCAGACTACAGAAAAACAAGGAAGGGCCTATTTGATCAAAGCATGTTGTGATACATCTCTGAATTCTTGTTATAACGTATCAGCCTCTATCAATGTAATCAATGAATTTGAGTATTTCTTAAGATGGTGAGGGGGATCACCACTGTCATTACTATAAAATGGCATAGACCAGAAATAGACTGATCTTATTTTTCCTAGAATTCAAATTTATCAAACCTCAGTGCTTGATCTTCAAGCCTCATATTAACGAAGATTACACTAATCCATCAGAAGAAGTTGTGTGGGACATATCATCATATACCAGGGTTTTGTAATAAGTATGTTAGGTTCTGCATTATTTACAACATCTTTTGATCTCAGGGGAGGAGAAAGCAAATTCAGATGCTGTTAGTAGTTTTGGGCTCCTTTTATTCAGATTTCTCATTCTTTTCCTCCCAAATTGCAGAGTTTAGAGTTGCCAGTCTAGATGAATTGGCTGATTAAGTAGGCTCTGAGCTTTATAGGTCTATTTAACCAACCAGCAACTAATAGCATTTTTTTCCTCCAGTAGAGATACACAACACTTGTGATCATACAGAAGGAAACAGATACCAAGTCTAGGGGAAATGCTGTGTGCAGTGGCACCCTGCAGAGTTTAAATATTGGAAGCAATTATTTAGCGGGCTCAGTGAAAACGTGTATGCTTGCTATGCTGAGTTTGCTGGAACACAGCATTCTCCAGGAAAGAAAACTCTCATACACATGCTTTCACGTATTTGACCCATATATAACGCAGTCTTAGACCATCTGTGTGCCGAAGAAAATGTGAACACAGGAACGCCCAATAGTGAGCGATATATAGTATAATTGTTTCATGCAATCTGAAGAAGGATTTTGCAGGTTATTTCCTGTGCCACATTACAATATACAATGGCAGATTTTTCTCTTCTAATCCCAAGGGTTATTATTTTAAATGTGATTTGGGGGGGGGGGTGAAGTGAAATGTACTGCTACCTAAATTTATAAGAATAGCAATACCATTTGGACTTATATGTCGCTTTACAATGCTTTACAGTCTTCTCTAAGAGGTTTA